TATTTTTTCTATTTTCAGTGATGTTTTAAAATATTTTAATGATTTTTTTTAAAAAAAACTTTTTGGATGCAATTAATCTTGAAATACTTAAAAAGTATAAAATTTATACAAAAATCTTTAAAAAATACATTGAATACAACAAAATAAAAAAAATGTATTGAATTTTCATTTTTTTTTTATTTTGTAAATTTTTTTAAATTTTTTTCCGTAAATATTATATTTTTTAAGTGTATCTAAATTAGGTGTATCAAAAAAAATTTTAAAAAATACGTAAAATATTAAAAATTTTCTAAAAATAAAAAAATAAAAAATTCAATTTAACTAATAATAATAATAATAATAATAATAATAGTTTTCAAACCCGAACAAACACTAATTTCTTTCTAGAAGATAGAGAAAATACCCAAGACCACATTTCTAAAATGTACTACCACGATTACAAATATATACTATTTTTAAAAGGCAACTGATTTGAACAAGGAATATTATTGGAATATGACACGGTGGTGTGTTTTTTGGTTAGTTATTAGACGCTATTGAGGATTTTGAAAAAGAAGTGTCGAAGTCAATAATGCGTACCCAATTAACACGGTTACGGAATTGTTATAAATATTAGTTTTGAATAATATTATGTGTATTAATTAATATATTAATTGATGATATGATATAATTTAAATTTTTTTTGATATTTGTAATTTGTATAATAAGTTAGGTCAATAATAATGTCATAATTAGTGTTGATACACTAATTAATACGCTAATTGATATATGTAATACTACTTATTTGCTTTTTATGTCTTCATCGGTTACTTCTCACCAAAGTTAATTGAATATATAGTTGCCATTCTCATTCTCACATCATAGTTTGTTTTGTTGTATTTCTATTTTTTAATGTTTTAAGAAGTAAAATAATGAAAATACTAGCCAATGTGTTTAGTTTGAGTTTTTGAATTAAGTTTTTTGAAATTTGAGTTTTTTGATTTTCGTATTTTTTTGTTTTTGGTGAATATTTTTGAAATTTTAAACATTTTTTTTACTTTTTTAGATGCACCTTACTTAGATGTATCTAAAAAATAAAAAATTTATGAAAAAATATTTTTAAAAATTAATAAATACAAAAAAATACAAAAAACATACTGAATTCTTGTATTTTTTTTTATATTTTTGGAATTTAGTGAATTTTTAAAAGGTTTTTTTCAATTTTTTTTACCTTTTAGGTATATTTATGTTAGGTATGTCTAAAAATTAAAAAAAATTTGTTCAAAATATTAAAAAAATTCAGTAAAAACAAAAAAAAATACGAAAAATAAAAAAGTAGAATTTTCTGAAAAGTATTTTTGAAAAATGATAACCAAGCATCTTTTTTGTACAGCTTTTATTTTTATAAGAAAATAAAATATTTTTTTAATATTCAAAACTAATTATTTAGACTTTGTTTAATTCATGAATTTTAAAAATAAAAAAAAAATGTCAAAGAAAAGCAAAAAGAATCCATGATCCAACTTTCTTCTCAATTCTATGATTCTAACCAAAATAATTTTTTTAAACTAAATTTTCAAAACAAAAATAAAATAATTATATACTTTACCCCGAAGACAAAAGTATGCAACTACTAAATAACTAAATCAAAATAAATGAAAGGAAAATGCATGAGACTCCCAGTGGGGTACTGGGGGTCTCTCCTGATTGGTCCAAATTTTTTTTTTTTTTTTCTATCTTTGACCTTTTTTTTTTGGTTGTCATCCATTGCCAGCCCCTTACGTGGAAGTGGGGGTGCTGGGGTCCCCGGCAGGGCCGTAAATGAAAAGTGAGCTTAATCCAAGAACTAGAATTATTACTATATAAAAAAAAAATAATAATCAAGAATCAGAATTCAAGCAGACCATATTGTATGTGGTCATGCTACATAATACACTTCTTTTTCTTTTTCTTTTTTGCAAAAATCATATGCAAATTATTATTTAAATTGGTATTGATTATGAATAATTATGGCAAACTATTTTGTTATTCATATAACTAACAAATTATTTATGGAAAAATGACTAAGTGTTATGAAAATTAAAAACTAAAGGGAGTTCAATATAATTATGTCAAATGCTTATTGATCAGTGTAATTTACCCTTAAATTTATTTACAATATATTAAGATATGGATAAATCATTACAAGAATTTAAAAAGATAAAAATATGATAATCTTCCTTTATAATTTACGAAAATCTTTTTTTTTTTTTTTTGCTGGTAAATACCATAATCCAATTTGCAGTACCAAAAAAACACCAAACAAAATTTAAGACTAAAAAACTTGAACCATTTGCAAAAAAAATATCACTTAAATGTGCATAATCAAGCTTATCTACCATATCCATTTCAATGGATAACATAACTAATTTATTTATTTTTTTGTATGATAAGATTGATTGATGTTAGATTTGATCAATTTTAACTTAAAATTTTTTCTTTCTCCTTAAGCAACTGACTAAGCATAGTTAATATAATAAAACTAACAATCTATTTATTTGACAACAACCGTTCACTTACTCTTAAATAACTTACCACTTCCATTTTTTAATTATTTTAGTAGAACTTTTTGAAATATTGCTACGCTAAGGCATAAAATTATTTAGGGTTTCCTTTTTAAAAATAAATTTTAGGGGCCCAAGGCGACAACCCTGATCACTTAACCACCACCCACCTATACCTCTGGCTATTCTTGTCGCAACTATGAACCCCACTGCTACAAACCTCTCACCGCTATGCGAACCTCATACCTTTGTGACCTTTCTATTGCAAAGCCTTACCTCTACAATCCTTCATCTCTACAAACCTCCATTGTTGTGAAACCCCCTCTACTATGAAACCTCACATTTACAACCCATTTTTGCCACAAACTCCCACCTATATGATCCCTTACTACTACAAGCCTCACATTTGCACACCTCGCCACTACTGCGAGAATGCCATATTCAATGCTTGATATATGAACAAACGCTATTAGTTTGGTAGTTGAGATGTTGGCTATCTGAATAGGGGAAAAATAAAGTGGCTAGGATTTAGATTTAGGTTCAGGTTTGGGTTTGGATTTGGGAAAGGGGGTGGTATGCATGTTTTATTGAAGTTAGAGGAGGGTGCAATGTCAAAAAAGAGTATTGTATTGTTGTAAAAGGGGTTAGGGAGGATACTATTGGAGAAATGATAAAGAAAATTGGCGTCGTTAGGAAAAAAAAAAAAAAAAAGGAGTAAGGGAATAGGGTTTGGGAAATAGAGTTTTAGATGACGAAGATAAGGACATTTTAATAATGTTATTTTAAAATAAAGTGAAAAATACTAATAAATCCCAATTTAGATAGTTTGAACCATTTAGTTATACAATTTATTTTATAGACTGATTGGTCCCATGTTAATGTTAATTGCACTTGAGCTCACGAATGTAACGCATGGGTTGGCTATTTAGAGGAATATATTGGGTTTTACGTGATGTCATAATTATCAAAATGCCCAAAAGTATACTGTAACATTTTTTTCCTTTTCCCTCAATTGCGAACAAAACGGAAGCTCAAAAATGGAAACTTCAACATTTCTTTGATGATGTTGCAGTGTTCATCTTCAGTTTGTGTAAGTTGAATGCTGGATTTGGAAAAGTTACACTCAGAATTCATTATTCTCCAACTAACATTACGAAAACCCCAAAAAACCCTAGAAAATCATGAAAACTCCTTCTATTAAATTCACAGAGGCGAAGCGGTGTGGGCACTGAGACATCTTGGAGTGCGATTAACATTGAGGACGTAACATCGGTGATTTAAAATTAATCTGCTGACAGTATCGTTGATCATGTGTTAGTGTGATGACAACAAAGTGTAGGTGTCTTTGATGTTAGTTTGGTTGTTTATAGAACAATACGACATCAAGGTCGATGCTCGAAATGAGTTTTTGTTTAATTGGTGCGTCATGTGGGGTTTTAGGTGATCTTATTCACGTCATAGGTTTGGGGTTTACCATTGATTGCAAATGTGGTGTTGTACATGTTTGTAATGTGACAGGCACATGATTTTGTTGGTTAATGTTGTATTATTTTCACGGGTTTAGGGGTTACTAGTGATTGCAAATGTAATGTTGTGCATGTATGTAATGTAACAGACGCATGGTGTTGTAGTTAATGTTTGTATGATTGGATGTGTATTTTGTAATGTTAGGGGCTAGTGGGAGAATGTATGCCTGAAAGTGTTGGTGGTAGTAGGGGTAGTGGTTGTTAATTGTAAGGAATTGTTAAATTGTGTCAATGTTATGTTATGTGGTTGGTGTTTGGTGCTAATGTTATAGGTTGTTAGTGGGAGGCTTAATGGTACAACAATGTGACTTTGAGCTAATGTTATATAAGTAAATGTAAACATTACAATTCACACACCTCCCCAAGAAAACACAAATGATTTAACATCAATAATATAACATCAAGTAGGTAATATCAATTATACCCACAATCGCTCCATGAAATCCCTACAAAATATAAAAATGTTCAACCATACCTTATCCACATACACTTAATTCCAAAAAAAAATCAAAAACATAATTACAATAAGGGGCAAATAAGTAAATTCAAATATTACTAAATCAAATCAATAATAAATACTACAAATAAAAATGACTGTTTGGTTTATAAAAAAAAACATGTAGGATTAAATGGACTAACATTTCCCCAAATGAAATTTATGAATAATTTTTTCTAAAATAAAATAGGTATTAAAAAATAGTAAACTAAAATGTTATGTTAAAATAAAAACTCCTTTTGGTTTTAGAGGAAATCATTGTAATTATTTCATAGTAATGGAGCTGTGTAATTAGAAAAAATTTATTTATACACCATGCTTTTTCTCAAGACACCCCATTCCTTAATTCATATTTATAATATTTTTAAATTTTGATCTTTTACGTAATGTTTATATATTTTAGCATAGGAAAGTACACATCATACACAATTTACACTGTGGCCGTAATATAAGACACACATGGCATGCCGGGTGGACATTCCAGAACTTCTACCCTCCCCTCCCAACCTCCGTCCCCAAATCGTCTCTCTCGCTCTCTCTGTCTCTCAGACCGACAAGACAAAGCACAGCACAGCACAGCAGCACCCTCCACAAGCCCCTTTCCCAGGTGATACTTGTGTGTATAAATTATAAATTATTACTATTACTATTGTTCACCAAATCAGAACAGGAGAGGAGCATAGCATAGCATAGCATTAGTTGGTGTTGTTAGGTGTTGGTTAGTTGTAGTTAGGGTAGCAGCAGCAGCAGCAGCAGCAGCAACGACATGTCAGTGTCGTGTGGGGTGGAGTGCGTCCTTCTACTTGGTTGTCTCCGCTGGGCCTGCAAACGCTGCACCTACATCGGCTCCTACGACAGCGCCACCTGGCCTCCCGCCACCGCCTCCGAATTCGAACCCGTACCCCGTCTCTGCCGCCTCATCCTCGCCGTCTACGAAGACGACCTCCGCCACCCCCAGTTCCCCCCCTCCGGCGGCTACCGCCTCAACCCGGAGTGGGTCATCAAACGCCTCACCTACCAACAAACCCTCGGCCACGCCCCTCCCTACCTCATCTACGCCGACCACCTCCACCGCGAGATCGTTCTCGCCATTCGCGGCCTGAGCCTCGTCAAAGAGAGCGATTACAAGCTCATGCTTGACAATCGATTGGGTATGCAGATGTTTGACGGTGGTTATGTTCATCACGGTCTCTTGAAGTCCGCTATTTGGATTTTGAATGAGGAATCCGAGACCCTGAGGCGACTTTGGGTTGATAATGGATCTTCTTATAAGATGGTTTTTACGGGACACTCTTTGGGCTCTGGAGTGGCGGCGTTGTTGACGGTGATCGTAGTCAATCATCTGGACTTGCTCGGCGGAATTCCCAGAAGTAATGTGCGCTGTTACTCGGTGGCCCCTGCCAGGTGTATGTCGCTCAATCTGGCTGTCAAGTACGCCGATGTTATACATTCTGTGGTGTTGCAGGTATACTATTTTGATTTATTATTACTCTCTACTCTCTTTAATTAGGTTTTTTATTAATTGCTTAATTAATTGTTGTGAAATTTATTTTATAATCAACTTCCTTATTATAATTGAAACATATACACACACGCACACACACACAAAACTGGCCTTTGGTAGTTTCAGTTTAAGATAATATTGAGGTTTTTGACTTGACTTTTATCGATTTCATTTCATACCATCACGTATCAATTTTTGAATTCAAATTTCAAAATTGTCTCTCTTATTTTTTTCTTGAAACCAGTTATAACACTATTTTTTAAACTAATTCATTACGGTAACAAAATGATCCCCTAGTAAGAGGCATCTCCAACCCAATCCTCTCTCAACTCAACTTTTTTTTTTTAATTCAAAATTTGAATATACAGGATCTCACCATTCACCCAAACTCCAACCCCAAATTTCATTTTCCTCTCTAAATATTTCCCTCCAAAATTAACCATTCATTTTCCCTCCATCAATTTTTCTTCTATCCATTTTCCTTACCAGCTATCCTTCCATAAAAAAGCAGAACCCTTCTACAGCAGACAGTTTTTCATTCTGATCATTTGGAAAAAGAGTTTCACAACAAATTTATCTAACACATCATTTTCTAATTTGGATGTAGAGCATATTTCTCCGTATCTAATAAGGTATGTGGATTTTTTTTCATCAATAAATGTTTAATTTTAAAGTTTTTGTTAAATATATTTAATAGTAGACTCTTTGTAAAGGCATGATTTCAATCTTTTTAATTATAACAAATTTATAAAAATTAGATGTATATATCAAAAGTTATTTACTTGTAAAATATTTATATATGTTAACATTTATTTGTGTTTTATCTTATGACATATAATAAAAAATACAAAAGGATATGATTGGTATATAAATTTGAAAGTAAAAGGTCTTTAGGACAAAGTTGGTATTTTAAAAAATAAAATTAATAAATAGTGTTATGGAGACCATTCTTTTCATTTTTTTTATACTTTTTCTATATTTGGAGGATGAACTATTCCTCCTCTCAAATGGAGATAGTTTTAGAGGATGGATTGGAATAGGTAATCCTTCATATTTGAAGATGATAGAGTGTAGGGTGGAGATGTCCCTAACAATCTACAATGTGACCAAAATCTTCCCCTTTAATCCCTTCGTCTTCTCAAGACCCCAACCCCTGACTCCCATATTATTCAATTTTGGAGAGGTTTGGTTTGAAGTAGTGCTGATGGTTTGATCGCAATGGCAACTAAGAAGAACTGACACATGACACAATACAGATACACACGCACTAATGTAGTTTATTGTGCCATATATTTGAATATTATATATTTATTTTTATTAAATTTATCAACTTTGGATATGTTACTTAGTGAAATAATTGTCTGTGGGTCATAAGGTAGTTGTGGAGAGACGTGGTGGATATGATAGTCGTGGTAGTGGGTAGATGTGGCAACTGAGTTTGGCTGTGGCGTGGCGGTGGTTGGGTGTCGGCTGGGTTTGGTAGTAGTAGGTAGATGGCGGTGGTGACTGGTGGAAGGTGCTAATGGCTATTGAATAAATAGAGGGTGGTGGCCTATGAAGCATGGGTGCGGGTATGAATACAGACACGGGTACGATACGAGTACACTGATACGCCAAAATCTACAAAAAGTAAGATATGGATACGGCTAGAGTACGTCAATTATTTTTTTAAATTTTTTTTTTATAGCTAAACATACAAGCTACAAATCAAAGTTCAACACAATAACTGAAAAGAGAAATTACAAAAACAAAAACAAATTAATATTCAACAATACTAATAGAATACTAAAGTAAAATCTTGGAAAAAAAAAATCACAAAAAGAAGATCAGCTGTTGTGGGAAAAAAAAAATGAAGAATAAAATGTATTAAAAAAAAATATTACAAAAAGAAGATGAATTGAAGAAGGAGAATCGAAGAAAAGGGAGAGTCAAAGGAGAATTGAAGAAAAGGAAGAATCGAAGGAGGAGTGATCGACTACAAGAGGAGTTTAGAAAACTCACCGGAAAAGAGAAAACTCAAGTGTTGGGAGTCATCGATGGTTGCTAAATTTGCAAATGGTTGTTGTAAAAAATACAAATGAAAATTTGAAAAAAAAAAATCGAAGAAGAAGAGGAAGAATCAAAGAAAATGAACCATGAAAAACTCACCAGAAAAGTTGAGCTTCGTCACCGACCAGCCATTGTCCTCGAACGAGAGTCACGGTTCTTCGAATGAGTCAAGAAGAGAGGTAACGATGCAGCAGAGTTTGTAACATAAACCTAATTTGATTATGTTTTTTATTATTACAAAACACCCCAAATTTATTAGGTTTTTCAAAATGTGCAAATATTAATTGCTCCGGTACCCGTAAAAAATTTTAAAAATTCTGTTTTTGCCCTGGCTTACCCAACCCCATTCCCATGGAGTACCTTGTGTGTACCCATGGCGTACCTAACTTCCCTAGATTGTATATGGCATACCTGGTACGCATGCAACCGTACCAGTACATGTACTAGTACTCGGTAATTGTATAACAACATTTTTGGAGTACCTGTGCTTCATAGGTGGTGGCGGTAGATGTTTCTTGGACTCGAGCGTAGGTGTGTATCTAGAGGTTTAAACTACCAAATCTCAAATTTAAAGTTACGTGAACTCGGCAAAAAAGGATGGTATTTTTTATTTTTTTTAATCTATTATATGAGATAAAATAGCATTTTATGTGACCGAGAATGTCAAAAAGGTACTTTACTCATTTTAAAGCAATTATGCAACAATATAAACATATAATGATAATGCTATATACAAATATATAAGAAGTATTCGATGAAAAGTATCAAACACATCCCACACCATTTTCCCAAGTGTTAAGTGTTCAACGTGGGTATTTGATTTATTTTGAAAAATTCATATAACATAGGTGGCTGTTGGGGGTTTCTAGGTGTGATGGTGGTGGCTATAGAAAGGGATAGTGGTGGGTATGATGGTGCTAGCAAAAGAGAGGGGTGGCGGGTTGTGAGAGTGGTGAGGAAGAGAGGGGTGGTGGTGGGTGTGATGGTAGTTGCAAAAGAGAGGGGTGGTGGTTGGTGTGATTGTGGTGGCAGAAGAGAGGGGTGATGGTGGAGGGTTGTTGGTTGTGATGGTGGTGGTGGAAGAGAAGGGTGGCGATTGTGGTGGTTTGTGGGTTAGCGTTAGGATTAGGGAGTGATGGAGAAGGTAAAGATGATTCAAAAGGGATTTTAATCATTTAAATTGGAGTTAAATTTGGCCTTTTAATTGAAATATATGCTATGGTAAAAGTAAAAAATGTAATTTGCATGATCTATTATCATTGTTAGTTTGACTATTACTAGAGGGGAGATCAATGTAATTTTGTCAAACTAGTGGAACCAGCTGTATTTATGCTATTTCCTATTGTATTTCGTCATACTATGGAAGCTGGATATATGTCATTGTAATTTACCTATATTATTTTAGTGCTTTTTTTTGGGGAGAGTGTATATATTCTCTACGACTCCACATTGTCAACTCATGTTCTCCTTTGGCTTCCTTTACTTTTTAAAGTTCTCTTCATGTTTCATTAAATCCCTTATCCAGTCAGCCTTCTATGGGCATCAAGTGTATGTATATATATAATTGTAAGGTTAATTCAAGTATTTATGTATTTATTTTTTTCAGATTGAATTTAAAGGGTACTCTTATGAGGTTGTTAGAAGTGGGCATGTTAGTTTATTATTTTCATTTTCTCATTTATTCTCCATCTGTACCATAGTTATATTCACTCAATATGAAGAGTTTTGGAAATGAGTATGCAAAATGTCTTAGCTTTTGGAGTTGGAAACTTTTATGTTTCTTCAGATGGGTAGATGTTTTGGATACTGCTCACTAGCCTCAAAACACTTAAAAAAACCTAGAAATAATTTGCAGTAAAACGTTCATGTAGTCTAATGATTCCTTAAAAGATATCAGTGACGACGAGCATTTGTTAACCATTTATAGGATCACAAAAAACATTCAAAATTGGTGCAAGAAACTTATGTACTTGACCTCACTCCCTTGAACTTGTAGCTGTTGATCTAGTTTGAAGCAATAAACTTGTGTACTTGACCTCATTCCCTTGAACTGGTAGTTTTAGATCCATTTTGAAGCTAGAAACTTGTGTACTTGACCTCATTCCTTTGAACTTATAGTTGTAGATCTGAGCTCTATTTAACTTATGGAGCCTGATTCCTCAATTGAGTGTGGATTTGACAAATTGGACTTCGTAAATTTTTTATTAATGGTAATTCTCTTAGCATAAATGTTGGCTGGAGTTACCTGAGATATTTTTTTTTTTTAGTTTAATCTTTCTTTCTGTCAGTCAACTGTTCAAGTTGCTAAGATTGCTCTGCCTTAGGTTGTCTAGACTTGGCAATTGTCTACCATTTGATGTGCTTGTGCTATTTCTTTGACACAAAGTGGTTAATCTTAGATTCTAGTTTGTTCTTGCTGCCTAGATTAATGTGATAAGACTTCAATTTTCCGTGTGTCCTCATGGCACTATGTGGGACCACATAATAACAGTAGATAAAAATGCTATTCCTAAGTACTTGGTACAGAGATAGCTCTTGGCATTCTCTGTACAAACCCGCTCCCTCAGAGTTGAACGCTTGAACTTATATTCTCATGCTTGGTAAGTGGCATTCCAAGCTTCTGCCGGAAAATCAAGCAATGGCCCCATTTACAATGATTTCTAGGTTTCTATAATCTGATGACATGCCACATTGTACAATAATTTGCCCTAGTGAGTAATTTTATGACTCGACTTCTCGTTGCAAGGGCCGTTATAATGCATATTAGAGCTGTAGGTAATAGGTAGACAGTCTGAGAAAGGAATATGCAAACATCAACTATTATATACCACCATTGTGTGAGGTTGGAATAGATTTATAGAATATCATAAGTTAACCACAGTAATATAAAATTTAACTCATAAACAGTCTGGAGCTTCTTGGATTAGGTAGGTGTACGGATGGAGGAGAGGCACCTTGACTCAAGGGAGCTGTAGAGTTGCATGAGAGGGGGATTGTTTCGATCTCACATTGGTTAACATAGGCCTTGGCCATGTGCATATAAACCTCTTGGGCACCCTTCCCTTGCAAGCTGGTTTTCATGGGTGAGTTCTATCTAAGGGGTTCGTATAATTTGGTATTAGAGCCAGCCACCACATCGAGTATGGGATCAGGAGTATAGGATAGGACTCACTCTAAAAAGGTGTCAAATATTGATAGTGGAGTGAAGCTGCCAGAAGGGAAAGGGCTACCACCAGGTCAATGTCGATAGAGTGGGCCAATGTGGAAGTCGGCTGCAGAGCTTGGTTGTATGTTATGATCCCACATTGGTTAACATAGGCCTTGGCCATGTGCATATAAGCCTCTTGGCACCCTCCCTTGCAAGCCGGTTTTCAAGGGCGAGTTCTACCCAAGGGCTTTGTACCAGTGACTAGAGAAGATGAGCTTCTGTTTGAAGAGGGTGGCATGCCTCCAAGAGGGGATTCACATTTTAACGTGATCATACCACCCAAGTTTGCTTTAATAATTCCAGAGTTTTTAAAGGTCTTACATAGTAGATCTAGCTCATCTGACTGAGGCATACTGCAAGCAAGTTCCCAGCTCAGAGCAGTAAGTCAGTCTATAGAATTGTAGTTGTGAGCCTTGTAAAACTAGGATTCATTGGCCTTGAAGTTAGTTACAGGAAGGATAATGCGAGTCATGCGTCAAAGGTTTGCTGTTGAGGGGACTGGAGACTTTATGTTTCATCAAGCATGCTCAAAATTGAAGTACCATCTCTGATGGGTTTATGATGCAATACCATCTTAATGGCTTCAACTGTTGTCATCTATGTCAGGATTATCAAGTCCATAAGCCAACAAATGGGCATGCCATGGCTTGCCACAGATATTTACCTATATTGATCAAAGTTCACTATACTGTATCCTATAATCTTCCTACGTTGCATTGCATAATTCTTAGGAATATTTGGTACTCATGAAAATTTTAGGAGAACAAAAAAGTTCATAACATTTGAACAACAATATGATTTTCAGAGGCCTTCTATATCTCAATTTCCTGTCCTCAATTTTGAAAACCTTTGATTTGATTGCTTGTCTGTTGGATGAGTATGTGGTGTGGTTGTACCTGCTTGCTAATTGTCCAAGATCATGTAGCTCAACTTTAATTGTTCATATCAGAATTTGCTAGTTCTATGCTTAATGTTTTGGGTAAACTACCACTTTGTCGCTAAAATTTATAATTAGTAACATTTTTTGTGACCAAGTTTTTAAACTGTCGCTGAAAACTGTCAATTAGTAACTTTTTGTTGATAGTGTTTGATGAAAAACGCCATTAATTCTCACTGGACCTATTTGACAATAAGTCTACTTATTAAGACCTACACGTAAAGTTCCCCTAATGTTTACAGCTCCACCTAGAAAAAACTGGTACAGATGCCCCACATTTTCGTTGTGCATGGTAAACACACTAAAATGGTTGACATGGTCATTTCAGAGAAGAATGCATTCTGGAGGAATGCCAGCAACAGTCTCTTGCACAGTTTCTCTCCAACACTTTCTTTTATGCGTTCAAACATAGGCTATGATTTTAAGGCTTTGACAGGCAATCAGATAGAGAAACGATAAAGAGAGAAAGAAAATGAGCTTCTGCTCCCTTCAACAATGTATCTCTACTATTATTTGATTTAGGGTAAGAACCGTTGTGAGCAGAGCCCTACTCCTTACCTGTTTCTGACTGCCAATGACCACCCTTTGTCTTTTTCAGTCATTTTTTAAAAAATTAAGAAAATAATTGAAGAATATGTTCATAATTTGATTTTCTAATCTTGTGTCAATGTATGATAGGTAGAATTCTAAGAAATGGATCTCAAATGTATAAACTAAATGATAAATAATTAAGCTCCTTTGCATAGCCAAAAATTATAATTTATAAATTAAACTCCCAAGACAAAACCCCCATCCATAGCAATCTATGATTGAACAATGGTTAGAGGCAATTGCCAGATTGATTGTGGTGACGATGAGGAGGAACATGTGGAGGCCAGGTAATTGTACCTTTCAGAATGGTGGCAGGAATTCAGTTGGGCAGAATAAGCTGGAGGCATGGTGGGCATCTTTTAGGAGGCTAAGGGACCATTGACTTTTATAATTTTCATTTCCCAACAGCTGTTGAATAACAGGGTTGGTTTTTGTTGACTTGTTCTGAGATGGCGATGGTAGATGGGGGTGGGGAGGTTGCTCTTTTCAAACATCATTTCTTTGATATTTGATAACCGACAACACTTCTCAATTCAAGTTCACCTCTTTTTAAATGGGTTAGTTGTGCAGGTGTGTAATGCAACAGTCAGAACAAGACTGGTGGAGTCAACTGTTGCTAGCATTGCTTGTGTGTTCAATATCACCAAATGTCTTTAATTTGTTGAATTGATCATCAGTAATTTGTCTCATATTTGCGTTAAATCATCAAACTCTCAATTTTTTGTTATAACATATGCATTTATTCATTAGGACCTATTAGAGAGATAGAGAGGAGGCATATCAGATGGTTAAACGTATTGAATCTTGCTTGTATCCTTTAATTAGGACCTATTAGAGGTATATTAAGGCCAAGTTTGGGAAGACTAAATAAGTGCACTTTTTGTCTTTTTGGACTAAAAAATTGAGATTGAAAATATGGATGTTTGGGTTAACTTTTTGACTTTTTATGGAAAAATGTGTAATAAAAAATTGTAAAAATTGGTTTGTAGAGAAAAATTTGAATTGGGAGTTGTGCAGCCGTAATTGTTGACTTTTGGTGAATAGTGTTAACTTTTTAACTTTTTGAGTAACTTTTTGGCTTTTTGGCTTATTTGGGACTTCCCAAACTTAGCCTAATTCTTTTCTGGATGCTGATTTCAAGATGGGAATGATGTAAGATTGCTGTTTCAATGGGAAGAAGCCATGTGATTATTGAGATATATATATTTTACTCTAACGAGTATGGCAAATAACTGTTTGTATGGATTGTAGCACCTTGCAGGTTTAGTGCTGTAGACCATGGTTTCCCTGATTTCTGTCTATCATATGTCCTTTTCTCTTTGTTCAATTTTCATTCTACCTGAGACTCTGCTACCATATGTCAATTGCTTGCCCATATATTTGGAAATCATGCAGACCCTTTTTAGTCATGTTATGCATCTAACTTTTGTGTAGTTGCTCCAATTTATTGAACTAACCATGCTACCTCAAATTAATGTTTCTAGGATGATTTCTTACCAAGAACACCGACCCCCTTGGAAGATATATTTAAATCGATCTTCTGGTGAGTTGCATTCTTTTGATATGATGACTCAAACTTTATGAAGCCTTTGAATCTGTTGTTTACTTTTTGGTTTTCTACCTTGTAGAGGAGTGAATTGTTATTATTATCTCTTAAACCAGGCCTTAATGCTTTGGACAGCTTGCCCTGCTTATTATTTGTGGTTTGCTTTTGGGATACCTTCATACCAGAAGGTAGGAAGCTTAGAGATTTTAGAAGACTCTATGCACCTGGAAGAATGTACCATATTGTAGAAAGAAAATTTTGCAGGTAACAGCAACTCTGAACCATTATTAATTTTATTTTAGGGCCTCATCTGAGGATTATTAGGAGCTATCTGAATTTGCCTTGCATAGCCCCTAGGTATTTTATGTCCTATAACTGTTGAGGAAGAAATCTCAGAAAATTGCTGCATATTGCAACTGTCTTTTGACTCTATACACAACTGCATTGCAGTTTTAAGTGGAGACCCTATTGCTGCTTCCTTGTGACAGATTCTAATTCAGTTGAGGTTAGACTATAAAACTTGTAACTTGCCTGGATCTACCACTCTAGAGATGGTGTCACTATTGTACAGTTACTATGCCACAGTAGGTGACCTTTTTGTCGCCAAAAAGTATCAACCATACCTGTATTTCAATCCAATAGAAAGAGATGGGCCATCCTTTAGTTCATGTCCTGGAAACTTCAGCAATACAGTGGCCCATTTTTATAACAAAATTGTCCTACTAAAATTTCATAACCCGTTGGTGAATGAAGAAAATAGTTGTTCCTTATAAATCAAAACATTAGACGGTACGACGGTACTAGTCAATTATTCAAATATCTTCTGGAGTTTCTCTTGGGTGACTGGCATATCCTTATGATCACAGCATGATGTTTCCATGTTGTGCACCAGAACAATATGCTAAATGCATGCTCTATGTTTTGGTCTTCCCCTGAGAACAATATAGTAAGACTAAAGATGGACACCCCCCTACCAAATGCAGCAGAAATGATCTCTGAAATAGACTTCTTCTTTTTTCTCCAACTGTACATGCAAATTATTGGCCATGATCAGCAGAACTCACTGATTTAGAAGAGCACATTTCAGCTACTTTGGCCTGTAAAAGATAGAAAAGAATTTGTTCATAGAATTGATTTATTTTTACCCACTCTTGCTGCATATTACTACTTTGAAGCCTGTATAAGTATTTCTATTCAATTCAATTTAGATTGCTCATAATGTCTGGACTTGTTTCTTGGGATCTTATTCTAATAGGTGGGTGTTTCTATATTTAAAAGATTTGTAGTTTCGTAATAATTTCAATTTTTTCTTACAACTGACAACTTCATTAAAGCTTAACCAATCTATGGATTTCAACCACCAGTCTCTTTTCTATTTTCAAAATAGAATTTAAATCAATCAATAAAATATAGTGTTTAACAGAATAACAGTATTGCTCATGTTTCTTCCACTGTGAACTCCAACTTAGTTTCTAACTATTACTCATTAAATCATTCAAAGGAAAATAGGGAAAATGGAAATAGCTATCGTCAATCACTGGAATGCCATTTTATCCTTTCTTGTGACACTTGTTGATAAGTTGAACCTGATAGTACCATACCTATTTTCTTATTTGTTTAATTTTGGAATTTATATTGGTGATAAATATTAATGTTCTGTCAAGATATTGGTGTTACGTATCACAAAACAATCAGATATTCATAGTATATAGAACAATTCTCATGACGATTCCGTCTTCAGTATAGAAGTTTAAATCCGGATCAAACAATGTGGAATTGACCAATACTTCAAAATTATATTTTGTATTCAGGAAGATTTTCCTATTATATGTTTAGGAATGGTGTACATAATAATTAAAACAAAAATGCTAGACTCCAAAAAAATTGCCAAAAATTCTTCACAATACTCACATGAATGTGCCACACCCATGTGAGTATTCTGTATAATGTTTGGTAGTTTTTTTGGAGAACCTAGCATTGCTCTAATAAAAAATATCCTGTATTATATAGTTTTCCAGTAGTTGGTGTTAATTGTTATGTAATTATCTGTCCTCAAGTAGCATTTGTGTTATTCTTTTCTTTTCTCTTGTAAGAAAGCTGGTGGCAATTTGCTAGCAAAATAGTTTTGTTTGCTCTGAAATTATGTCCTTGCATTGTACACACAGATGTGCAAGATATCCTCCAGAGGTCAGAACTGCCATCCCAGTAGATGGAAGATTTGAGCACATTGTCTTATCTTGCAATGCCACACAAGATCATGCAATTATTTGGATAGAAAGGGAAGCAGAGAAGGCTCTAAATGTAAGTGGGAAGCAATTTTACTCTTTTAGTTTGACCATGTTCTTTTTTCATCATAAGCATGCAAATTTATCAACTGAAACTCCAACAAAATCTGAAAGATGGGCAAATGACACTTCTTACCCTTCAACATTTACTCAAATTTTACTTTGGTCCCTTGTGCTTCAATTGTAACAATCTTAACCTCATACTTACAGGAAAATTTGAATATGGTCCTTCAGTCAATATTTTCCATTATGACTTTTCATCAAATTTTGCAACAGCAATTGATGGAGGGACTACACTGACACAACGTTTGGTAACTTAGGAGAGAAAAGCAAAGAAAAGAAAGGATTGTAATTTCTCTTCCTCTTGTTTGGATAAATGGGATAGAAAAGAAAGGAAAATATAATGATTTGTCTCTTATCTTGTTTAGTTGAACTACATAAAAGAAAAGAAAAGAAATTGTTTCATATTATATTTACCAAAATAACCTTTTATAGGTGTTAGTTTTTTTATTTCTTCTATATATGAAGGGACAATTTTGGAAATATAAAAAGATAGTGAGTAGTTGGTTTCTTTTCTCATCCATTCTCTCCACTTTTGTAAAGATTCAAAATGAAGGTTATGAGAGAAATGGGTTTCTCTCCATTTCATCCCATTTCACTCAATTTTTGTCCTCTTTATTAATCCAAACAAGTGATATGAACCGAGAGAAATGCATTTCTTTTCTTTGCTTCCCAAATCAGTCAATCAAAATGTGAACCTCACTTGAAAGTATGAGGTTAAAATTGTTACAATTGAAACATGAAGGACTAAAATGAAATTTAAATAAAAGTTTAAGTGTGAAAAATATAATTTGCCCCCAAAGATTGCCATAGGAAGATTTGGCATGGACTTTGTCATCACCAATGTCAATGTCAGATTCTCTCTTTGGAATAAAACTGCTTGGATGGAGTTTTAAAAATTGAATAAACATTTCAGTAGGTCATATTTGCCTTCTGAAATGGGCTTTTGCCATTAATAACTTTTGCCTTTGGATGTGTGTTGGGTTAGACAAATCCATGAAATTTGTTGTTATATTTAAGTTTTTGAAATCGATGTTTGACACAGGCACATACCACAGTTACACTTGTCACACTAATGACTTGGTATCACCAATCAGCTAACTTGTGACATTTGTTTAGATTGTGATCAACAATAACTCTACAGAACAATAACACAACTTTAAACACCAACACTGTAACATGTTAAACTCTCTCTCGCTGTTTTGACAATCCTCAAAATTTTGGAATTTTACCAAATTAGCACTGTGTTCTCTTTTTTTCTTTCTTTTTTTTCTTTTTATTTTTTTTATTTTTTTATTTTTTTTTTATTCTCTTTTGGTGAACTAGGTAATAGCTGATCTGAGCAATGTGTAATGGTTACTTGGATTTTTTTTAATTTTTTTTTTTTTTCTAATACTGGTCGCTCTATTTGGGTTTTTTATTTTCTTCAAAAAAATAGAATTTAGTTTGACAAAAATAAATACCAAAAAAATATTTTAAATTTTAGAGAAATTTATTTTACCCCCCAAAAGATGAAATCATATGAAAAATGGATAGTTACGGGTTGGTCCTATAAAATCATAGATATTTATTATTATAAAAATATTTTAAAAAAATAAAATTCAACTACTTACGCTTCTCACATCATATTTCAATACAAACTAATACAAATAAACTAAAAATTTACAAAACTCATAACAAAAACCAAAATGGCCCAATCATTTATCACTTTGATAAATTTTTCAATATCATTACTAGTATCAAATGACCATTTCACAAACAAAAAACATACATTTAACAGGTCTCAATATTTTCTCATTATCAAAATGAGGGGCAAATACATAAAGTTTTTCACTCAGGACTTGTGAGGTAATAAATCCTAGGACCTGTTGATAATTTTTGTGAAATAAATATATATAAAATATATATTTTTTAACCAAATAAGTTTTTTTGAACTTTTATTTTGTTTTATTTATAGAAAATAAAATTTGAAAACTCAAATCAAATGGTGAATATATTTATTCATCGCATTCTCTCTTTGCTTTGTAAACTTTTATCAACATAACAAAATATTTGTATTTTCTTTATACAAAAAAATGAAACATATAATTTAATGAGAAAATGCAATAAATTTAAGTTGTGGCCTCTGGGATTGGTTAAGTGTTACCCACATGCCCATATCAACAAATTTACAAGTGTTTTTACGGTTGGTGACGATTGATTTCCTGAGAGAGGAATTTTAATGTTGTCTGGGTTAAAAAGTGGAGTTATTGCTGATGTGAGAATGTAGATGAGTTGTATTCTACCTAAACAAATGTTACAAGCTGGTTAGTTGGTGTTACCAAGCCATTAGTGTGACATGGTGTAACCGTGGTATCCATATTTTCTACCAAGCTGGGCTTTGTCATCAATTGTTGTAATTAAATCAATTTAGTCAGAAGATGAATTTCATGCATTCTGCTGCAAATTGATGCCTTCTTACAGAGAATGAGGGACAATATTTCTGAGACTGTAACAACTGCCCCAAAAGTACAAAAATTCGAGAGGATGCATACTTTACAAAAAGAACACAGGGATGCTTTGGAAAGAGCTCTCAGTTTGAACATACCTCACGCTGTCAATGCCCCTGAAGACGAACCCTCAACAAGCAAGGAAGAATCTGTAGAAGGTGAGGATGCCGCTGAGTCTTCTGAGAATGAAGCAAAAGCTAAATCAGTGTCCTGCGGTGGAAGAACTAACTGGAATGCTGTGGTTGGGAAGATTTTGAAGAAAAACGAGTCTGGAGAATTCCTACTGAAGAATGTCACAATTGCTCCACAATAACAGCCCCGTCTCTGATGGTTGTCTTATTTTTTAGTGATTGATTGTATGCATGTTATAGGTTATTTTTTTATCATTGGTAATCATTTTTTGTATGGTTACAGTTTTTACCATATCTTGTAAAAAGCATTGACATTCAACCCTGGCTGGGCTTGCACCCATGAGGTGCAATTTTACATGTTAAACAGCAGATTGTTATTAGTGTTTTTCAAAGGTGTAATCTGTTTGTAAAAAAATGTGTGTTTACAACATATTATTTCATTTTACTTGAAACTATTTTTTGTCTCTGCATTTGTGAGTTTCTATTCAATGTTCAGAGTTGACGATGGAAAATCAAATCTGAGAGATCCTCTATCGAAGGTTCCACTCTGCATCTCCTAAGAACCAGGAGCTACTGTGCAATTTTAAGGATTTTGGAAGTTGAATCTCTCCTAAATATTACTCCCAACCCCAATTTTGTTTCTTAAACGTGCAAGTGGCAACCAGTTGGTTGGT